AGTACTCCAGGGCCAAAGCTCAAGAAGCCAATGTAGTACCTGCACCTCAGAGCCCACTGCTTGCCTCGCTTTCGCACAAGGAAATCATGGAGAAAGCACTTCTCCACACTCAGGGCAACCCCACATGACTATACAGTGTGGCATGCCTCTTCCTTTTGGTGTTTGAGTAACAAACTGTCTTTTCAATGCCACTTGTCTCTTGACAAAAAAAAATACAGTTTGAGATCACAGTTAATAGACTCAGGATCTTGAAGTATCCATTTGTGTTCTAATTTAACAGTCACTTATGGGACACCAGCATGTCAACACCACTCTGTTTCTATAGTTACTCAGATTGCAAGAAAAATACTAATTCTTGTCTCCTCCTATGATTTGCATTATGAATATACTGATTCCAGTTGTATCTAAGTTGATTGATGAATTACATTCATTGTCTTCAACACACTTACCATTGCACATGACATTTTTTGGTACTACTCAGAACTGTTGTTAGCTATAGAGCTAGAATTGCAAGACGGCACTCAGGAGTAGCTGAGTAGTGGCAAAATTTGAGATGTCTAGGAGGGTATGAGGTGACAGTGAGTTAAGAAGAATATTCTTGTCATATTTCATATTGTAGGAACTAGCATGGGATCCCAGTTCTCTGAAGTTGAACATGAGCCTGACACTCTGTCCCTTAGTTTTCTGTCTCTCCCCTCCCTCCACACATTCATTTTGTGAAGTAAGTTACACGCTTCAGTCACTTTGTTCTGATAGATGACGAGTGACCGCCCTGCACTGTGCTGCTTGGCTTACTTTGGAGTATGGTCTATCAGCTCAGATTAGACTCACCCTGACTGGAATTCTCTACTTTTACCAAGACTCCTAAAATTATACTTTGCATTAAACATTAATACAAGATGAAAACATGATGTGTCTTTTAGTAAAAAGCTCTACTGAAAAATTTATAAACAGGATTTCTCCTTCCTCTAGATGCAAGCAAATGAATTGGAAGATGATCATGTATTCCTTAAAGCCTGAAAGTTTTTAAAATATATTTAAAATTATATATTAACATTATAATGATAAAATGTAAACCAGTTACAGGATACCTTTCACTTTCTAGGAACATTGTTTCACTGTTATTAATTCTAACATAATTGGATAGAACAATTTAAATACCATTGCCTGGCCATGGTGGCACATGACTTTAATACTAGCACTTGGGAGTCAAAGGTAGGTGAATCTCAGTGAGCTCAAGACTAGCTAGCCTGGTCTATAAAATACCTGGTCCACAAAGTACCTGGTGTAGACCATCCAGGGACACACAATGAGACCCTATCTCAAATTTAACAACATGAAACACATCAGCAAACCTAAATAACAGCTCCTCCTCCAAATGTTAGTATTATCTGGCAGAGGGAGGTAGTTTTATGACAAAAGTTTCTACAAATTGTTTTATCATTAAAATTAAATTATTAAATCTTGCTTGCTAAATTTAGACTCAGTCTATGAAATGAGACAATGTATTAGCAATGATTTTTTTGAGGCTCAAATGTAATGTTATTTTACTTTTCTAGTGATATTTTATCCTGTTTTTAAGGCTATACAAGAGATATTTCAAATACAAGATAGGTCAGAAATTAACATAATAATCCTGAACTCAAGATAGAAAATTTCAAAATACAATATATATTTTTTTAATTTTTAAAAAATTGAATTAGTCTATTTGGTTATTAAATTTTTTCCCTGATCAGCTGTAATGCCATATTCTCTTTGATGGCTTCAGCTACCAAATCTGAGTTTGCTTAAAGTAGTGGTTCTCAATCTTCTTAGTGCTGTGAGCCTTTACTACAGTTCCCCATGTTGTGGTGACCCCCCAACCATAAAATTATTGTGTTGCTACTTCACAACTATAATTTTGGTACTATCATGACTTGTAATATAACTATCTGATGTGCAGGATATCTGATATGTAGCCCCTGTAAGAGGTTCATTCAACTCCGAGGGAATTGAGACCCACAGGTTGAGAACTTCTGGCTTAAAGGATCTGTCTGATCTTCCATAAGAAGCTACAGAAATGAACATTCAGTGCCTTTGTGAGTCAGAAGAGTCCAAAGCATGCAGAAACCTAACAGTTCAGATAGATTTACTAATTAAATGGAAACAGCTGTGTCTGACTACAGCCTGTTATAGTAGGGCCTAGGGTACCGGATCATAGTCTCAGATTCTTAGTTGGAAGGGCATTTTAAATATACTTTAACTCAGTCACTCACTTAAACATTGCCTTTCCCCATCGCCATTAGTTGAATACACTCTGGCTTCCAAGGCAGCCTGCTGCCTTTTGCACATTTCCTTCCATCTATCTATCTTACTGGGAAACATTTTCGCTCATGGTAAGCTCCTCCAAGCTGAAAGGGAAGGGCAGAGTATCACCCATTAGGAATGCAGCATTCACGCAGGTCAAGCATGTGTTTATCGCCTCTAATGAGTAGATGGTCCGATTCCCTGCAGGGGAGCTTCGCTGACTGGAGCAGCTTTGCTGTGGAGTAAATAGTATTCAGCCACGTGGAAAGCTGCTTAGCCTCAGGTTGTCTCCTGGATCACTAAAAGACTCTTCCTGTATCAGGAAGTAGAGGATGCCAAGGGGTGAGTTCCCTGGGAGTCCTCCCTCAAATTCTCTAACTTCCTTATGTTGCCCGGATGGCCAGATACAGCCACAATTGCTAAGCAGCTGAGACTAGATTGACACCAGTGAGTTGAGTGAGGAACCCGGGGGCCACATCTATGCAGCACTAGAGAACTTGGATCTCCGTCTTTATTCTCCCAGTGAGCTTTATAATCCTAGCATCTATTCTATGGTTCTCACCTATAAAGGGAGAGTACGTATACTTAGAATCCAGGGTTGTTGGGAATATTAAAAGAAACACTGCACACTAAGTTAGAAAATGTAACTCATGCTGCTTTCATCTTCAGACTTAGCATCAATGCCACTCTGAAGGCCTAATACCTTAATAGGAGTTGGATTAACTAACATGTACTTACAAATTGTGTAAACCTCATATTAAGCTACTGTCATGTCAATACAAAACAAAAATTTAAAGACTTTATTCCCGTTATCTGTAGTGGTGAACACTTCAGGAATCAAGGCAAAAAAACTGAAGAGGACAGTTTTATGATCCTAAATATAAAGATGATGAAAACCATTTGGTTTCCATTGGGAGAGTGGAGGTGCCCAAGGATCAATGAGACCTTAGCTTTAATTCACAGAATTGGGGATATGGGTCCTGAAGCGGCCACCTCCTGTAGCCAGGTAGAAATCCCAGTAGAGTGATAGAGACACCAACCCACCTGCAAAACTTTCAACCCAAAATTTATCCTGTCTACAAGAAATGCAGGGATAGAGTAGAGTCTAAGGGAATGGCCAAGCAATAACAGGCCCAACTAGAGACCCATCCTATGGACAAGCACCTATCCCTGATACTGTTAATGATACTCTATTGTGCTTGCAGGTAGGAGCCTAACTTGGCAGTCTTCTGAGAGGCTCCACTCAGCAGCTGGCTCAGATGGATGCAAACACCCACAGCCAAACAGTGGATGGAGCTTGGTGACTCTTATGGAAGAGTTGGGGGAAGGATTGATGGTACTTAATGGGATAGGATCTCCATAGAAGGACCAACAGAACCAATTAACCAGAACCCTTGAGGCTCTCAGAGACTGAACCACCAACCAAAGAACACACACTGGCAGTACCTAGGCCTCCCCCTCATTTGTAACAGATATGCAGTTTGATCATGTGGGTCCTGAACAACTATCCCTAAAGTTGTTGCCTGTCTGTGGGATATGTTCTTCTAGCTGGGCTGCCTTGTTTGGCCTCAATGGGAGAGGAAGTGCCTAGCCTCACAGAGACTTGAAGTGCCAGCATTGGGGAATACCCATGGGGGCCTCCACTCTCTCGGAGGAGAAGGGAAGGGGAATGGAGGAAGGATTGTGTAAGGGGGTGACTGGGAGGTGGGGCGGGGATTGGGATGTGAAGTGAATAAATAAAACATCATCGTCAACAAAAAACCCAAGTAAACAAAACATCAATAGTTAAAGACAAACATGAGCAAGTGCTCCCTGCAAAGAGTTAGATTTTGTATATCTTTAAGGAAAAATACAGTTTGCATGTTTTAACTTGTTTGTGTGCAAGTTTGAGAAAAGAACCATAGTATTGTTGGCAAAATTTCTTGGCCACTGCAGCTGGTATAGAATACCATCCATGTAAATGGATTTGGGTTCTCTCTGACCAAGGGTACATTTCCTTTCATACGGTACTTGTTAGAAGTTTTACTGTAAGTTTCTCTGCCCCAAATCATATAAACCAGAGTACTTTTCTGCCAGCGAGCAAAGGTTCTATCCTATCAGGTTTGAGATATCTCTTCATAGGTTTTCTGAATCTTCATAGACTTGGTCTACTTTGTGGACTCATTTGGTTGGTTACCCCAACCTCATTTCAATTCATCTTGATATCCTAGTTTTATGTGAATTTTGGAATATATTCAATTCCATTTTCCACCACAACTTATTATTCCCCACCTCCATGACAGTTATTCTCAGAACTGAGAGCTCGTGTTTTTAGAGTGTGACATCAGGTCACAGAGTATCTCATTCTGCCGTGGACTTTAGTGCAAACATTTTGTCTCTCAGTGCAGTGCAGCAGGAAGATCCTAGAAAGGATATGACTCTCGTGAATGCTGGCCAAAATGCCACTGGCTCACATGAATCTGAGCCTTATGTTTTGTGAACTCTCTCTTAAATTCTTCACCAAAGAATCAAATCCAATGAGGATGGCATAGTACAAAGATACAAGAGCCATACATGGAGAGGACACAGTACCAAGATTCTAACTTCTACTGAGAAAACCCACTTAGGGCAAGCCAGCACACCAGAACATGGAGGCAGTTTCAGACTCAAACATCTGCCTGCTTCCCTTCCCCTTGTACACGCAGTCAGTGTAGTGATCAGAGCAAGTTACTTACTAAGGCAAACTTTTTGTTGAGAATCATCTGCTCTATTAAAGATGACTCATTGTGGAAGAGGTGGGGCTGCATGTGACTCCACATGTGAGGAAACCACCAGAACTCATCCACAGACCCCAGCAGGCAATCATCCCCTTCATCTTCCTCTTCAGTTCCTGTACGGGCAGAAATAATTATTCAGTTAATTCCAGCTGCATCTTCAAACTATCCTCTATCAAACTTCTATCATCTATCTATCTATCTATCTATCTATCTATCTATCTATCTATCTATCTATTATCTATCTTCTATCATCTATCTGTCTATCCATCTATCTATCTCTATCATCTATCCCTATCTATCATCTATCATATCTATCACCTATCTATCATCTATCAGTCTACCTTTTAATCTATCATCTATATGTATCTGTGTATCTATTTTCTATTATCTGTATCATTGATCATGTATGTAGTATCTAGTATACATCTATCGCTTATATTATAATCTATCAATCATCTATCATCTACTCTATTTAGAAGACACCATTTATAGTATTTTACATGTAAATAAATCATTGAACCCAAAATGTAGCAAAGGAAAATCTGTTAGGGAACAATAAATGACTATGACAAACTTTTAAAAAAATCTATTTATAGTTTAAGTTATGTGCCTATGTGCTATGCCGATGCAAACACTGCAGCCCTTCAAGTAATCTTGTATAACTGCTTGGGAGACATTGGATTTTTCTGGGGTATCTGCATGTAGCAGTAGTGCCAGCAGAGGCCAGAAGAGGGCGTCAGATCCCTGGAGCTCCAATTACAGCTAGTTGTGAGCCGCTTGACATAGTTCCTCGCAGCTCACCTCTGGTTCCCTGACAGAGTAGTACACACTATAAATTGTTGAGCCATCTCTCTAGCCCCAAAACTTACAAAACATTACTAACCATGAGATACGAATATCAAAATATTTTAAATGTCATCTTTAAAATTAATATTTAAATACCATGTTTAATAATAAATATAGTCATTCACAAAGACAGACTAATTAATGGAGTCTTTGTACAGCTTACAGTGTAGAGGGAATGAATTAAGCGGAATAACTAGTATTTTACAAGTAGTAGGACAGTGGAAGAGGATGTAAATTATTTGACGTGGCTTGTATATTCAGACGTGAGAAAATAGCTTCCGGTTTGGCCATGTGCTGGCACACAGTGGTTCCACGGCAGTTCCTTGCTTCACCTATCACAGTGGAAACAGACAGAAGGTTCCTGAGACTCTCCAGTGGTCATCTCACTCTGAGCTCTGCCTCCCCAGCCACGAGACTGTGATAAGAGCTAACGGGCTTCCTAGTATGTGAGCTGTTTCCCAGGCTGCCGCTTCTGGTCTGATTCACTCGCCACACAGGATCTCTGTCTTTCCCTGCGTGGTCTGTCACTATCACTTCGCTTTCTAGCTAGTTTTGCTCAGAGTTTATTTAATGAGGGAAAAGTGACAGCTCTCGGAGTTTTCTTTAGAGATGGTTCAAGCAAGTTAGTTATCTTTTCCTGAAATCGTAGTAAAATTGCAATTACAACTTTTATACATTGCAAGCCTGCTGGATTTGGAGAAATGATTTCTGCCATCTGAGAGATTTATCTTAATTCACAGGAAACGTAATTTTATGTCTTTCTTTTTTCTTAATAGCTTTATTTATCTGGCTTCCTTGAATTCCACTTTGGGTATATTCTCGATCAGAATAGATTATATTGAGCGGAAGTATCTATTTATTACTTTCAAGATTATGATAGAACCCCTTCCTCCCCTTCCTGGTCCTGTGGGCTGGGGCAGACACAGAGTTGGTCTGCTCCTGTCCTGTGGAGATACTGACTCCTGAGTCATCCTAGAGGAGCCACTGCACTCAGAGCAGCCGGTAAGAACTCCATCTCACTCCCTAAGCCCCAGAGATACATCTGGGAGCCAGGGACATCCAGGGCACAGCAGCTACCCAAACCCCGCCCCTCCGGAATTCCACTTCCCTTCCTCCCCTTCCTGGTCCTGTGGGCTGGGGCAGACACAGAGTTGGTC